AGCAATGAGGAGAGAGAATCATTGATTGGCTGCCTCGTGCATGCCCCCTACTGGGGATCAAGCCTGCAACCTGGGCATGTACCATGACTGGGAATTGAACTAGCGACCTCTTGGTTCGTGGGTCAATGCTCAACCGCTGAGCCACATTGGCTGGGCTGGGTGAGGTCTTGTATTTATTTATTTGAATATTTTTCGAATTAATTCAGTCTCTATGGAAACCACTCCTGTTCGCATGGACACCTCATGTCCACTGCTCACCGCTTCAATTAGAAACACAACTCAGCCCCTTCACAGGCACGCGGGCCCGGCAGCCACACCGCACCCACTTGGACGGCAACACTGCCGAATTCCCCGGGAAACAAAGCCACTGTCAGCCGCTGCCGCTGCCTGGGCCGGGCCTGACCACTGGGGCGAAGGAGGGGGGCGTTTGCTTGTGGGGAGCAGCCCTTGCCCCGGAGCCAGATCCCCGTGACCCACGAACGCAGTGCCCGCCTGCCCCCCGCGGGGGCGCCTTGCCCTGGGCCTCCCGCGGTATTTCAATGTCTGGGGGATCCCTACATGCATCTAACAAACAGAAGAGAAATCCATCTCACCGCCCAAGCCTTCCCTTGAGCAGCTTTTCACTTTTTATTTAGTTCACAGTCCTGAGGAAGACCTGCAAGTTCCGCTCAAAGTAAACGCATTTCTGCGACTACACTCAGCGCAGGAGCAGGAACAGGCAGAGGCGCGGGCAGAGCAGGAGGGGCCCAGCGGGTCTGGGTTCCAGTCCTGCGCCTCCCGGTGGACAAGTCTGACCCGGTAAGTCAGCGGTTCTCAACCTGTGGGTCGCGACCCCTTTGGGGGTCAAAACGACCCTTTCACAGGGGTTGCCTAAGACCATTGGAAAACACATATATAATCACATATTGTTTTTGTGATAATCACTATGCTTTAATTATGTTCAATTTGTACCAATGAAAATACATCCTGCATATCAGATATTTACATTATGATTCATAACA